TCCGTTAAAAATTCATAACTTCTTCATCCGATGTCCATTTTCGTCTGTCTTTTTACCGTTGCGCTACAATTAATGAGATCTTCAATTCTTGTTTAGGTTGTGTCGGCCAAAAACCGCTCGCACTAAAATTTGAGTTTCGGGTCGTGCACTGCTATGCCAAATCTTACAAAATTCATAACTTCTTCATATGAAGTTAGATTTGGGTGTTCTATTTTTGTATGTTCTCAGTTTAACGTATACTACAACTTTCGTTTAGATTGCTAAAGCTAAAAGTTGCTCTATCGTAGATTCATTATTTACGCTTCCTGGTGTCGTGATGGTTCCATCACGAAACTTCGATGGGTCATAACTTCTTCGTTATAACTTGGATTTTGGTTTTCTTTATATGTACAAAACCCTTGAGACATATCTTAAAACTTGGTAAATATTATTATTTCTAAATAATATTTTGTCGAAAAGTCATTTTTGACCCTTATTATTTGTAAATTGACTAGCCCGGATCTACAGGAGTTACATGAACATATCACCAACTATTAGGATCTCAGATCCAATGGGCTGGCATGGGTGTATTCAACCGCTTAGTATAGTGAGGAGAACTCACCTCACAACGGTCGAACTGAAGTGATAAGCTCAAAATCTCGAGTCACCCGCACGAACTCCACCACCTATATTTACCATCAAACCATTCCATAAATTCCTAATTTACTAACATACCCCAGAAGTCAACTAGTCTATCCTTAGTTAAAGTCAAAGTCAATGGTCAACATCAACAGTCCTATTTAACCGAACTCATCGAGTGCAACTCACTGACTCGTCGAGTCCTTCCAGAACTCGAGAAGTCATAAAAACCCCTAGTTGACTCGTCGAGTTTCTAGGCAACTCTTTGAGTCCATGTGTGTCCAAAAGTCAAGAAAAACCTATCTAACTCGTCGAGTCATTTTGCTGACTCGCAGAGTTCATCTAGAAACCCTCAAGGCTAATCTACATCGTACTTGCTGAGTTGGCCATGCAACTCGTCAAGTCCCTCCAGTCCTTTGTCCACTTAGATACATTTAAGCCACCCCAACACTCCATATTGCAGATCAAGCTTCCTAAGGCATGTTTATCACGTAAAGTTGCAAACTTTACATGCATGCAAGGCTCTAAAGGCTTAGAGTACTGAATCCAAGCTTATAATGGGGTTTAACTAAAAAGGAAAGGCTCATACTTCTAAAGCTGGAGACTTTATAGCTAAAGAGACCAAGATGAATTTAGATCTGAAGTTGCAACTTCAAATCCTAGCCCATACCCGAAAATGGTTAACAGTCATGCTATAAAAGCCTTAATCTTAAACATGGAGAGATCTAGAAGGATAAAAGTCAAGGTAACGACTTGTTACCTTCAAAATGATGCCAATAAGCAGAAGATTCAGATCCACTAACTCCTCTATGCTCCAATCCTCTTATAATTCAAGTCTTCTTCTTCTAAATCACCTTCCAAGCTTGAAAATCACACAAAATGTAGAGCACACACGAATTAGGGTTTCAGAGCTCAACGGAATGGTGTGGGGAGGCCAAGGAAGCCTAACGATCCTTTAAATAGGATGATAGACCCTGGAAATTAGGGTTTCATCCACCAACTCCAACTTGTCAAGTCGTGTCCTCTAACTCGTCGAGTTGGTCACTTAAGTTATGCAGCAAAATCGGTTCCTACTCGACGAGCTAGGGCATCCAACTCGTCGATTCGAACTTTCAAATGAAAAAAATATATAACTACAAACTTCATACCTAAGAGTCGGGGCGTTACACTATACTTTTACATCGAAGGCACCAAGGCCGACCCATTGGATTTTTATACGGGTTTATAGCTTGATTGGTATGATCTAGTGATCTGTTAGATCTGCATCCTAGTATATAGGATGATGCTATACTTAGTGATATGTCAGATCTATCAGGTTTCCTGTTGATTGGTTATATATATATATATATATATATATATATATATATATATATATATATATATAATATATATATAAAAGTTTGTATGTGATGTATATGTCGACATGTTATGTGTGGTTAGGTTGAGGTGGACTAGTGTAGATTGAAGTCGAAGAGACCTAGGGCATCCTGGATAGAGTGAAGGCCTGAGAGGCATACCAGTCAGGCCGAAGGCCTAGAGAATCGTGTAGATTGGTTGATGTCGCGGTGAGGCATTCCAGTCATACTGAAGGTTCTGTGAGCGGTCCAGGTAGTCTGTAGGTCGGTGTGGCTTTCCAGTATGGCTGAAAGCTCTATATGCATTGCGACATCCCCATTTTCACGGCCAGAAGACACTGAATTTGTTTATGCTTTATAAAAAATAAGAGTACCTCTTTTAATAAAAATGTTGCGAAATTTGTTCCCAGTAAAACATGATAAATACTTTATCAAAGCATTTCCAAAGAAAAGTATTTTTATTCATTTTAAAACATTTGGGATGTTATCGTCAATATAGAAACATAAGCATAAACAGAACTTACATTTAGTATCACTAGTGATTTATATCTCCTTATTCTCTCAGTGTAATGTGACTTCATCCCAACACTTGTGATATAAATATACTGAGTGGGTCAGGTTGGGGACCCTGGTGAGTACATAAGTTTTTCAACCCACAATAATATAATTATTATGTTTAAACAATCAAACAATCAACCCAATTACCCATCCCCATTATCTTCTTTACTCTTAAGGATCTATCCTAAGAGTCATCTATCCTGCATTCGTTTATTCTGAAGTCCCTTGCTTCCAAGGTTATAGGACTGGCACTAAATCCATATTTGTCAATGCTCGTTCGTAAAGGGCTAATTCCATAGCTGCTCTAGTTTATTCATCGGGTACTAAATCCATAGCTACCAGTGTGTATCTAATAGGTACTAAGCCCATAGCTACCAATTCCTAACAGGTACTAAGTCCATAACTAACAGTGTTTGTCCAATAGGCACTCAGTCCATAGTTGTCGATGTTATTTATTAGGCACTAAGTCTATAGCTGCCAATGTTTGCTCACATCATCTTTTATCTCTCCGTATTCATCTACCCATGTCATACCCAGCATATTTGTATATATAAAATACATATACAGTTTAAATCATTTAAAACATGTATAAAAACATTCATCCAGCATAGAGAACAAGTATTCAGATAATATGCACACATAGAACGTAGTTTATATAAAATACTTCATATCTATGTGTAAGATGAAAGTAACTACGCACTCACCTAATAAGGTGATGACTCGGTACTCACTAGTAGAAAAACAGCCTTTTACGACGCTCATTGCGCGTCGTAAAAGGTTCAGACGACGCGCAAATGCGCGTCAAGGAAAGCCCCGTCATAAAGAGAGACGACGCGCATTTACGATGCTCATTTACGACATGCAATTACGATGCCCGTTTACGACACACAATGCGTATCAAGGAAGGCCATGTCATAAAGGAAGACGACACGCATTCGTGTGTCGTAACCTTACGACGCGCGTGTTAATGACACGCAATGTGTATCAAGAAAGCCCCTATCAAGAAAGGCCATGTCATAAATAAAGATGACACACATTTTTGCGTATCATAATTTTAAATGTGTAAAAAAAATATTATTTATAGATTTACTTATTTTCAAATTAAATTTGTATTTAATGTTTCATAATAGAAAATAAAATATCATATAAAAAAATAAAATCAATTGCAGAAATTTAACGTTATAAAATTCTGTTTCTTACAATATATAAATTTGCATCTAATCTACTATGTACATCAAATTCCATCTAAGTAAAGTTTCATCTTGCCTTTCATAATTTTTTAAGACTAATGCTCCAAATAGTTGATTATATGGATAAGCAGTTGTACATTGGCCCATCTCACTCAATAATGACTTAGCCAAATTCAACTCACTTTCCAAGAGTTTTCTCATGTACAACAAGGCCATTTCCAGTTCCTTCCAACCCTACACAAAGTATCACATCCAATTAGGAAGTAAATATAAGCATATCTTGCAGGGTTAAAATGGTAATTTGTGTAATTTTATAACCAAACACAAATTACCAGGCAAATACATAAGAACTGAAGAATCTTTTAGAGGCTTGTTACAGGCAACAGGCAACAGGGCAAAACCATGTTGAGATCAAGTTTGGAGATGATATCATCAAATGAAGGCCTATTGTGCATGTCAGCATCCCAAAATTTTTGTACCAGAGATAGTAATCTTGGTGGTGGACTTGATTCAATCCCTGCAAGACCAAGTCTTAACCCTTTGAGGAGAACAATATATATATATATATATATATATATATATATATATATATATATATATATATTATATTTATATAATATATTCTATTTCCATGCCAAATTTATTGAACATATTGTTTTATCACATATGTTGTTTAGGTTAAGAAACCAATTGAAGCAAAAGGAGGAGCACAATGCCAAAAAATAATAGGAAATTAAGAAACTAACCAAATTCCAAAAAAAAAAAAAAAAAAAAAAAAACATATATACAGTACATGAAGTTGTTTGTGGAAATAAAAAGAAAATTTATTACAGCAGAAAGTAAGATCATTCTTGATCCATTGATAATTAATTATGACAATTTGTGAACAACACCTTGGAGCCATCAAAACTGTTGGGAATTAACTTCCATTAATTGCCAAATATCCTAGAAGGGCATTAACGGAATTTTAATCTTTTGATCAGAAACTAAAAGGAATCTCCTAAATTAATTGAACCCTAAACCACATGAACTAGAAGGGTATTACTTCCAAACTGTTGGAAATTAACTCCCATTAATTGGAAACTAAAAGAATCAGATTTCAATAAACTAAAAAGAAAAAAAGAAGTATAATATAATTACCTGAAAATATCAATAGCATTCATTTCAACTGGGAAAGGAATTTAGGATGGTCAGGAGTGAATTAATGGAGTTAGATACATGCTTCTTTGAATTGATGTTGTCATAGTTGCTCTTGTTGTTGCTGCCCCTGCCCCTGCCCCTACCCCTGTCCCTGCCCAACCTCCTCACCCCTTGTCCCACCTTCAGTAGGACTTTGTCCCCTGCTACATTTACACACAAATCAACACATTTACGCACAAAACAATTTGAGAACTACATATATCAGACTTTCAATGTTTGTAAGATTCGAATCCAAGTTACTGTTTTGGTTTTTTTATATTTTTGCCGTTTTTATAAGTTGCTGTTTAGTGATCTCATTCGAAACAAAAACCGCTCATTCTAAGGGAAAATAGGAACTGGAACATACTTTATACACACAAAAATAATCATGGAATGGACAGTTGGAAGACTCGAGAAGAAAGCAGGTTCAAGAATGTTGGATACCGGAGTCTCTGAAGCTGACCCCTGATACGTTCCAAAGAAATCATAAATTCTTAATATAATATTCATTACATACATATGAATGATTGTGCTTGCAAGATGTGATGATAGGTAGTAACTAACCAATACAACATCAGCCAGACCATTGGATGAGTTAAAATTGGATGAACCTGGGAACATATTTCTAGCCAAATTTGTCAAATTAATATACATCAGTAGAAATTTATATTGATCAGGATGTATATACAGAACACTGACATGAATAAGGGTATGAAAGAGATAGAGTCAACATACTCTCTCCAAGGGATTGGTTATTTCCAGTAATAAGTACAGTTGTAGGGCAGGAACCTGTACTTGTGCAGGAATCATTGGGCAAATCTCCAAATAAAGCTAACGATCACTTCTCACTGTTCGATATTGTGGAGCTGGTACTTGTAATAATGGAGGACATTCAGGTGGACTAGGAATGGGACAAGTACCCCACTTGGTCCAAATCTGAGTATTCAGTCATTAGAATCGGAATAGGTGATTCCATCTTTGTACTACTTTTGGAATTCACTTCATTTTGCTTCAAGATTCATGATGCCTGAAATGAATCATAACCACACAATGCAAAAATATAAAAGTCAAAAGTCAAAAAAAGATGAACTTCACATAAAAAAATACCCATAGACAATCATTGCAACAAATATTCGGTGTAACTTATCTGCATAAACTAGGTTAAACAGGTTGACTATGTGGTCATTTACTCTCTTCTTACGTCCAAAAATGGAGATGAGCATTAAATAGGTTGGATATGCTGACAAGGGTAAAAGGGTCATTTTACCAAAAGTGAGACAACTTCATTGCTAACTAGTAGTGCAGTTGCAGTTTCCATTTTACCAGTTGCTTCTTCTTCATCTTCATTCTTCATCTCTATCTCTTCTTCTGTATGACTATCATCTTCATCTTCATCAAAATCTCCACCACTCGAGAAAAGGATGCAACAAGTGGTGTATCCACATGTACTGGTCTACAGAGCTCATGCATATTCTGAGAAACTTCCAGGATGGCAATACTTAAGAAAAATAAAAAATAAAAATATTACAATAAGAAAAAAAATCAAGAAAATGATTTTTAAGGGTAGGTTACCTATCAAAAAGCCCCAAAGGGTGAAATTTCTGCAATATTTATTGAACATCTCTCTTATGTAGAGTTTCAGTAACAATCAGGACATCATTGTCAATCGTGTGATCATATCTGAGGAGAAACGAAAAGATTAAGTCCCAAACAAAGATGGATATGCAAGAATGGTTGTAACATGTGGATTACAACAAACCATCAATAAGAGTAGTTGAGGATTTGAGGTATGTTACTTTTAATTATTATTATTATTATTATTATTATTATATCAAAAAGAGGGAAATTTTATCAAATGTACACTTGTAATGAGATTAGCACCATCTACAGAAAACACCCAATCCCATACCCATCGTTGGTGCCCTGAAACACACATATCATATTATTACTATTATATTAATTAAAAAAAGCATGTGACATTTTTTTAAGACATGTAAGTATGTATATAGTAATGTAAAATTGGTCATTATCTGCAGTAAATAACACAAATCATAAGATCAATTTAAGTAAAAAAGAAACAATATTAGATGAAAAAAGAGAATAAATAGTGAATTTACCTGTGTCCCACGTAAGAGCCTCCAGACATAACAAGTTCCTCTGTTGTTTACAGCAACTACCAAGCTTCCATCCCACATCACAATCAATGATCTCATTAATGTATCAACCTATGGTACCTGGGTTTTGTTAAAACTTTAAACCCATACAGCTTAATCAATGTATATATGCTGAAAATTAAAAATAAAATCATACCAGCTCACAACTACAAGGGTTTGCAGTCAAGTCCCATACACGGATATTCCCATTTTGATCACTAGATATGAGCTCAGTCTGGACACCTAAAAACAAACCAATTAAAAATAAAATCATACTAGCTCACATCTGATGGTTTCCTGTAGGTAAAAAAATTATGGAAGAGTCCTTCAACATTCTTGTTTAAGGAGTTCTTTCTTCAACCCGAGTCAAAACTCATTATAATATTAGTTTTCTGATTATTTAGGGTCAAAATACTTAGATTTGTAGAAGCAATTTAGGAGTTCTTGCAAGAAAACTGATTATGGATATACATGTAATTTCTCTTAGCTATCCTTAGCACTTACCACAATAGAAAATACAAGATTGTTAAGAAATCTCCCAATATGATATAGTAATCTTCTAGTGTAACATGGTTGCCATCTTCTACTTTTGTAGAAAACCCAATCTACCATCAATTTCATTTTTTAAAAGCATTTTTTTATAAATCAGATGCAAAAATAAACTAATAAGTTCAACATAAAAGGTGCTAAATTTAGAAAAATACTAAGATCAATTTTGATCTTGCACGGCTGTGAAAAATCAAATCATGAAATTCAATTATTCAATAGATCACGAAGACCCACATGAAAGTAATCAACAAGATAACCATATAGAAATCAATCAATCAAGTTTATCAGCATAACAAGAATAAGATCACCCAAAACAGAGGAGTTTAGGGAAGTTCAAGAGCGAAAATTACTTGTACTTCTGTCGGACATGAGAGTGAACCTCGGCCTGATCTTGCCTGATCTTATACAACTAATCATAGCCTCATTGTTATTTGATGATTCCAAATTTAAACTAATGCATATACCATATATCAAAATCTTTAACATTCAATATGTAATATCCTATCTATATTCAAAATTCAAACTTTAGCTTAGAAAGTACCTCCAAAAATCTGTTGAATAGAAGGAAATCAGAATGTTTGGGGATGCTTCTTATCAATTTCAATTACTTTGTTTATTTTCCATCTTCCATCGGCCATTGTAACTGTTGTTTTGTCGAGAGCGATAGTAGCAACGACCTTGGTGCTGCCTTCTTTCTTGATCGATGCTTCTGTTAACCATGTCTCTCTCCCACATCTCTTCTTCCTCTCCTAAATCGATCCTTAACCTCTCTTGGTTTTTCTTGTTGTCGCTATCGCACACACTCACCAGACCTCTCTTGGTAAATGTGCGCGTCAGAGTGCGTTGTTCCCATCACCACAGAGAAACACGTCGTTGCCTTTCTCCACAATATAGGAAGCCCTAGAACTAATATTATCGAAAATACCTTAAATGCCCTTAAATTTTCCCTCTAGTATGATGTGCCCTTAAGCGAAGTGCCAACGTCTGCTCCGATTTGATGAAACAAGAAGAACCAATCAGATTCTTTTGGATAGAGGGTTCTAACATGGCTTGATAACAGGAATATAATTACCATGGGTCGGCCATTATCATAGATTGGAACTCTTCCAATCTGAATCAGCCATCAACACAAATAGATCTGAATCCAAATTCTAAACAAACCCCAAACGAAGTTAAGAAAGTATAAGAGCAAAGAAAGAACACAAACCTGAATGACCATGTTGAAAACGATGATAGTGTAGACAGATAACCCAGAGATACTTAATATTGAACTCTGAAGTGTTGTTCCAGATTCCCACTGACTCAGATGAACTCAAAAAGACACAAACATTATCTTTATTTTTCTTTTTTGAAATCCAACATTATCGATTCTTCATTTGAGAAATCAAAGTGCATAGACAAACCTTGTAAGAAAAACCCTAAGTCGCTGGTGTCTAAGAGTCAATACCTTGTACCAAAATCCCTAAATCGCTATGAGAGAGAAGTGAGGCCTGAATCCATTTTGATTAGATTTGAATTCGAGGTTTTAGATTTGGTCGACGCCATTGATGAGGAGACCTCACAGATCAATTACGATTCACGATCGCTTTATCTTCTTGTTCTCCTCTTGATGATTTCAGACTCTGTCTCTACAACTTTACATGATATTTTTCAGAAAGGAGTCTAGAGGAGAGAGTATCAGAGAGGGGAGAGTGGATTGCAAGGATGAAAGGTAGATAGATGATAGAAAAAAAAAGGCGGGTTTTCAAAATTTTAGGGATTTCGTTTCCCCCTGTCTACTAAAAGCGCGTTTCATTAAAATTATAAAGCGACAGGTACAGACGACGCGCGTTTAAGATAAAGCGCCCTCCGTGTTTTTTTTCTTGAGACACAAAATTAAGGGCACGCAATAAAGCATGACGTAAATCCTTAAATTTTTTGGAAAAATGACAATATTTTAAGGGCACGTCCTTTTGCGTATCGTTAATTAGAGCGTGTCATAAAAAGCGCGTCATTAAAGGTCTGTTTTCTAGTAGTGACTCGGACAACACTTCGTTACTGTTAAAACAGTTTCCCTCGGACAAAACCTAATATCATTACCACTAGAGTTTAGTCTAACGTTAACCGCGACTAATTAATAGTCTAGATATTATTACTATTATATAAGCGTTAAGAAACACTTTTAGATAACTCAGAATAATAGCCCAAATACTCATTATAAGTTTCTAATAATGTTACTATATTAAAACATAAGCTATACTAAAGATATGTTAGGTATAGCTCACTTATAGCGAGTTTCCTTGGAAATCGGGCTCTGTCGGAGCAGAGTTTCTAAGCCGAAGCTCTTCCTTTCGGAGCCGTCACACGCTCTGGGGCTTTTGCCTCGTGCTAGGCGGTTCCCTTGGCTTTTTGGGGGTTTTGGGAGGTTTAGAGAGTGTTTCTAGAGAGAGAAAGAAGGGGTGAAGGTGTAAGGTTGAGGGTTGCCCCGAAACCTCTATTTATAGTGCTCCTGAAGCGTCACCATGTCTTGGTTCCTCTCAGTACATCGTGGTGTTTCATAGGCTCTAAGTTTTCACCTGGTGCTGACACGTGGCATCGCACACAGGGTGGAAATCAGTCGATTTTCAAAAATTCAACTTTCGCATACGTACCCCGTTTTCGATGTTCTTTAAATCCATGCGTAGGTAAAAATAAGATCTACAACTCTCATTTAGACTTCGTCAGCTAATTCTCGACCAATCTTATATTTAACAGTAGGAGGAGATGATATTATTAAATGTCCGTGTAAAATTCATAACTTCTACATACGAAGTCTGTTTTCGTCTATGTTTTTACCGTTGAGTTCCTATTAATGAGATCTTCAACTCTCATTAAGGTTGCGTAAGCCAAAAACCACTCGAACTAAAATTTGAGTTTTGGGTTGTACATTATTAAGCCGAATCTTAGAAAAATCGTAACTTCCTCATACGAAATCAGATTTGGGCGTTCTTTTTATGGATGTTCTCGGTTAATGTATACTACAAATTCTGTTAAGATTACTAAAGCTAAAAAGCCCTCCATCGTAAATTAACTATTTATGTCTCCCAGTGCTATGTCGGCTTTGGCGTAAAACTTCGACGAGCCATAACTTCTTTGTTATAACTCGGATTTCATTGTTCTTTATACGTACGGAACCATTGAGATATATTATACAACTTGGTTAAGATTATTTATTCTAAATAATATTTTGTTGAAAAGTCATTGTCGACCCCTATTATCTCTAAATTGACTAGCCCGGATCTACGGGCGTTACAATTATATCCCCCTTAGGATGATTATTGTTGGGTTTTGAGCATTCTAACACTTCCTAAGTGTACATGCTACCCTAATAACCTTGGATCTATGTTTGTCTAATTATCATGCAAAGTTGAATTCCAAGGCTATATTCCTAACTAGCATACATGGGGAACAATTTTAACTTAAATGATAGATAGAATAACTTACCTTGTTGTTGCTTATGTTCCTTGAAACCTTATGAGCCTAGCACCCCAAGTGTGATGCCTCAAATGCTTCACACAACACCAAATGCTCTTGGAAAGACTTTTGAGAGAATGCACACTTCTTGAAATTGGCCTAGCCCTCTTGTTTCCTTAGTGTCGCCATTTTGGTGGAGAATATGATTCTTATATAGTGTTGACACATCTAGGGTTACACCATATAAACCCTAATGTGTCATGACTCTTCATTTCCATCACCCATGGGTTTGTAACTCCCATGGAGCATCCATGGAGCATCCTATGGGTGGAACCCAACTTGATAATCCATGGAGCCTCTTAGCCCACTATACAAGATATGGATGATTTACATAATCAACCCATATATTTAATTAGTTCTCTTTTGATCACTTAATTAATTCTAAATTAATTCTTGATCAAACTAATCAAATAATATTATTAATATATTAGAACTTATAATATATTAATAATCTCCAAGTGTTATTTCTCTCATTTAGTCTATCCAATTGCATGGTGCCATGCAACCCAAATGGACCATGCCGGGTCAGGTCAAGTACATACCAGAAATAGTTATGGACTTAGACACCTTATCCAATAGTCTCCCACTTGGATAAGTCTAATAACTATTACTGCAAGTATGACTTCAGGAACCGATCGGCAATCATAGCTCCTTTCAAGGTTTCTCGGAACTGAGAAGATGATGGTACGCCATTTAAAATAAGTGATCATATAATCCTCTGTTCTAGATATCAGTCGGACAAATACATGGAACAATGTCTTACTTATTGTCCAACAGTTTGTTTCCCGATTTCCGATTTTTTTTGACAAAGAACTTAATTGAACACATCAACTTAGTTCTGACCGGGCCCGGTACATAGGTCAAAACAAAATCATCGAGGGGCCCAGATATCGGCTTCTAATCCAAGAAGGAACAGATAAACTTTTGACTCATATGTTTGTTCTACCACTCATTGAATTACACACAAGAGCACGATTTATAACATCGAGTTACCAATGCGTTTTCGTACAATCAATGCATAACCAACTTGTAAGTAACAAATCATATCTCTAGGTTTGAAGACTTATATGATATTACCGTCTCATGATCACTCGAGATAGAATTCCATGAAGTGATTCCAGTGAGCGTGGGTTGAGTCCAATGCTCAGAGCTTATGAGCACTCATGATTGTTGTAGCCTTGTCTAACACCTTAGACCTCTGCAACCAATCATGACAGTCTTGATTCATACCTACTTCCGACATATAACCGACTGTGGAGGTTTGAATAATATGTTATACCAAACCAAATCGTCATTCCAAATTCGATTTCCGATCTTCCGTATAATTAAGTCATTATTTTAGTATACATTTAAAATGACTTAATGGGTGTCTTAATACATTTAGAAATCATTTTAACACCCAACTTTAGTGATCGGAATATTTCTAGAAATTACCGTATCGGGTTACGGTAACTCAATCGGGTACGACCAAAAGCCTTTGTCTAACATCGGTATCGGGTAGAATTCCACCGTGTCCAAAACTTAAACACTATATAAACGTGTTTAAGACTTCATTTGAAGCCTTTGGTCAAATTACCACTAAACACTACCCCACCTCTCTCCTCATCCAAGTTTAAGAGATCAAAACTCAAATTTAAGGCTTCAAATCTCTAAGGTACCTTCCTAGCCTTAATCTATAGCATGTTTGGCTTCCAAATTCGACATTTAATCACAAAATAGGACAACATATGTGAGTTTACGGCCCAGGAGCATGCCTAGGCCGTAAACACCAATTTGAAGGGTTTTAAGCCCTTAAACTCCTTCCTAAACTCATTTGGACTTTAGATATGGCCAAGGGACTTCAAGATATGGACTCTAAACAATTAAAACATGAATTTTATGAGGTTTGAAGGATTTTACGGCCAAGGATCATTCTTGGGCCGTAAACTCATATTCAAAGGGTTTTTGAGCCAATTAACCCTTCCAAATCATAGTTGGGACTTAGATATGACCTTTGGGCTTGCTAATCTAGACTTGGAACACTTTAAACTTGATTTTTGAGTAATAAAAGTGAGTTTACGGCCAAGACATACTCTTGGGCCGTAAACTCCTCTTAAATGGTGATTTAGTGCCCTTAAACATGTCAAAATGCTTTCAAACTCAACCAATGGCTTTGTGGTAAATCCTAGATTCATCTAAAAATGGTTTGGAGACCTTAAACACAACATATACCCTACATAAGTGAGTTTACGGCCAAAGAACTC